CACACACACACACACACACACACACACACACACACACACACACACACACACACACACACACACACTCACTCAGTTATTTTCTCTCTCATTCCTCCCAGTAAAGGATGGATCTACAGTGTCTTACTATTTATAAAGATATCTCCTCTTTCTCTATGTCTTACTACAAGAGCAGACACACAAACAAATCTAACATTGATATTCAACCAATAGTTATTATGCAAAATCTACTTTTTCCTATCTTTTATACATAAACATGTGTCCCCTCTGCGTAAAGAGATTCTGAAAGTTTCAGGAAAAAATATGTCCTGATCCATTTATATAAAAACCTGTCTGAAAATGAGCTGATCAGATTTTGGTCACTTTATGATGTCATAACGATTTTTGCCTTGTGTAACCATTAGCCAATCACCAACCAAGGTAACCCACCCCCCACCTTATCACCTGAATCTCCTCCTAGAGCACCATTTTGTTCTTTTTAACCAAATATCTCTCAGAGGGGCATGGCTCCTTATTTTCATCTAAAGTAACAGAAAGAGAATCAGCACTTTGTAAACATGGCTGAAACCGAGGGGATTATGGGATGCTGCATTGATCTGTTTGGTGTTTGGAGCCAAACACTTCAGAGATATGTTTGTATATATCTGAGACCTATAATATATTGATGAAGACTTCTTTCAGAGTGTTGGATGTGCTACTGTGCACACTATGCCGCTGTGATCAGGTCCAGTTTGGGCAACTGTGGCTGTGAGGGAGTGGTCTTTCAATCAGAAGGTTGTTGGTTCAATCCCAGCCCCTGCAGTCAACATGTGGCAAGATGAATAACCATAAATTGATCCAAGGCCAACGGTGTGTGAATCTGTGTGAATGTTAGCTTCCTCGAGCAGGTGGCACCTTTAATTGCAGCCCCTGCGTCTGAGTGAAGGGGGTGTGAATGGGTGAATTATGCCTTGTAGATGTAATGCGTTTAGATGAGTCACAAAGACTGGATAAAACGCTATATAAATACAGTCCATTTACCATGATCAACAAGCTTTAAAACACAATTTCTTCTGATTGACTGCATGGCAGAGAAAAGAGGATGTATTATTACTAAAAGGGAATATAAAAAGCAAGACTGGCCAATAAAAGTAGATCTTTTTTAAATAATAAGAATTACAGGTTCATTATTTCAGAATAAACAAAGAAACAGAGTCACATTCAAGCAACTACTTTATATTTCTTCTTTTGAAAATGTGATGATCATTTTCAAACACCATGAAAGGATTTCTTTTGATGTCATTTCTCAATTATACATATTCACTCTCCCACTCACTCACACCTCCTCTCCATCATTCCCTTTCATCTGTATCTCAGCTTTCCCTCTCTGACCCCCCACTCATCCCTCTATCACCACCACACATCGCTGCGTAAATCTGCACTTATTTGGTCCCACCTGTTAGCTCATTCCAACATGTTGGTAAACCAGATAAACCCATATATACAGTGGGGCAAAAAAGTATTTAGTCAGCCACCAATTGTGCAAGTTCTCCCACTTAAAAAGATGAGAGAGGCCTATAGTTTTCATCCTAGGTACACTTCAACTATGAGAGACAGAATGGGGGGAAAGAATCCAGGAAATCACATTGTAGGATTTTTAATGTATTAATTGGTAAATTCTTCTGTAAAATAAGTATTTGGTCACCTAAAAACAAACAAGATTTCTGGCTCTCACAGACCTTTAACTTCTTCTTTAAGAGCCTCCTCTGTCCTCCACTTGTTAACTGTATTAATGGCACCTGTTTGAACTCGTTATCAGTATAAAAGACACCTGTCCACAACCTCAAACAGTCACACTCCAAACTCCACTATGGCCAAGACCAAAGAGCTGTCAAAGGACACCAGAAACAAAATTGTAGACCTGCACCAGGCTGGGAAGACTGAATCTGCAATAGGTAAGCAGCTTGGTGTGAATAAATCAACTGTGGGAGCAATTATTAGAAAATGGAAGACACTGATAATCTCCCTCGATCTGGGGCTCCACGCAAGATCTCACCCCGTGTGGTCAAAATGACCACAAGAACGGTGAGCAAAAATCCCAGAACCACACGGGGGGACCTAGTCAATGACCTGCAGAGAGCTGGGAGCGAAAGTAACAAAGGCTACCATCAGTAACACCTACCCGCCAGGGACTCAAATCCTGCAGGCAAGACGTGTCCCCCTGCTTAACCAGTACATGGCCTTCTCATCTTTTTAAGTGGAGAACTCACAATTGGGTGGCTGACTAATTACTTTTTTGCCGCCACCTGTATAATAAGGAATGAACCGAGAGGAAGCAGATCTTATTACACGTGACCCCTGCACTCTTCCAATTCCCCTCACCTCAACACTCATTCCCCTGCCAACATTCGACCCCTTAAGAGGGGCCGGGATTTGTTTTGGTGTCTAAGTTTAGTCCGAGGAATCAGCAAACAGTACTGAGAGATCAATCACTCGGAGTGGTAATGACTATTGATTCTGCCAGGATGGGAGAGACAAGAATGTATTTAGATAAAATAAATGCTCGCGCTCTCCACGCGTACGCGAGCTTCTCTGAACACCAGAGGGCGGATGTGCATCTCAAGTACACACACACAACACATTGTTGCAATAATATACAAGGGACAGCAAAATGCAGACTTTGCACAACACTATAAAATGAAAACTGTTGCAACTGGTGGTACAGGTANTCTCATGCAGCTAACTGATCCAGTAATGACTGACCCTACAGTGAAGAATATATATATTTGCAACTAGTTTAGCTTGTTCCAGAGGTAGATAAAATAGCTAAGTGTGTTAGGTCTAACTCTTAGTGTGTGTTTTCCTCTTCTCTTTATTTTAAAAGTGGGCATATTAACACATGAATACTGTGCAATATATTTGTACATTTATATTTAAGAAGTACAATATAAGAAAAACACAAGTTTCATTTGTGGGCCATATTTCATTGTACTTTTTGAATTAGCTGAGGGCCAATTAAAAATGGCCAGCGGGCCGTACTTTGGACACCCCTGGTTTAAAGTGTTGATTAAGAGTAAAGGGAACAGACCTGCTCTGTGTATCCGAAGCTGAGGCTGTAAAACAGCGTCCAGTAGTTTCTGGAGTCTCTCGTTCTCCTCTTTGGAAAGAGACAGCTCCTCATCATGCTCTGCAATCGTTTTTTCAAACAGAGCAAATATATCTTCAACAGCAGCAGTGAGTCGCTGCTTCTTCAACGACAACAGCATTTGGACTTCACTCATGTTTACTAGATCACCTTTTCATGCAAACTCCTTTTAAACACACCGTTTCTCTCTTCATCAAACTCTCAATCTGACTAGCGTTGCTAACGTGTTTCCTGCTAGCATGCTAAGCTAGCTCCTATAGTCCGAGGTAAACGCTCCAGAAAAAAAGAGCAAAGAGTCCATTCGGAGGTTTATCCAGATACACAGATGATGGATCAGTAGTGCTGGAGCTCACACACACTTTCTCAGAAACACACAGAGAGAGAACCGTAGTGACGAGATGCCTCCTCGATTCAGGTTACAAATATCTGGGAACTTCACTTCTTCTTCTTCTTCTTCGTCTTTGGTGTTTATTGGCGGTTGGCAAACCAACCTGTAGGTGCATTACCGCCACCAACTGGACTGGCGTGTGGACAAGAGACTATGCAGAAAAATAATAAAAGAAAAGAAAGAAAAGAAAAAATAAATAAAACTCTTATTTTAAATGTATCAATTTCTCTTAGAAACGTAATAATTTCAAAATCTATATTGCCTGATGTTTTCCCTAACAGCCCTGAAAGTGAAAAGTCATGGTATTTTGCTTTCTTCAGTGTCTGGAAAAGCACATTCCTCAGAGTAATATATTTCCTGCAATGCAGTAAAACATGTTCGACAGTTTCTTCTGGATTGAGAGTCCTGTATGACCTTATTCTCATCCGAGAAATTACATTTTCTTCCCTTCTTTTAAACCCCCCCTTCCTTCCATCCCCCACATACATTTGAATTTGATAAAGAAGTCTTCCTGTATCATTAATGTCCCAATGTTCTTGCTATGTTGTTTGTGCATACATATTTCTGTATGAATGTTTTAACCTCCGCTTTGCTAAGTGGAACTATATGTCTGTTCGTAATTCTGAGTGTTTGTTTTATGAGTCTTCAAACAAATCGTGCTCAATTTAAGGCGAGGCCTTGCATATGACACACACCTGCAGGCTGCACACCTGCTAGCCTGTTCCATTATTCGTTCTCCGAATGCTAGGAAGGATTATTGCCTAGCCTCTGAAGGACCTGACTCGGAAGGACATGTCCTACCAAGGAAGCGTCCTCGACTTCTACTGCTGGGCGAGGCTAGCTTTTCGTTGCCACAGCTACCGAGTTGCGTAACCATTTAAAAAGAGCCGAACAACGCCAAGAGCTTCTGTTCCTTAGCAACACCAAAATAACAAGGAGGTGAAAATTAGCCTTCTTTACTTTAACATGTCCCAGGGAGGACGTGTGGGGATATCACAAAACAAGACAAGTCCGAGTTAACCAAAAGCTGTAACTTCTGACAGCGGAACGGGTTATTTTGTACCGCACGGAACCAGTTGCGTTGGGGACGGAAACTAAATCTGTAAACAAACGTAGCTAGCAACGGTTTTAGTTAGTAGACGTAAACACATGTGCAAAGACACTGTGGTCTCAGCTCAAACAAGATGTTTAAAAACACGTTTCAAAGCGGATTCTTGTCTATTTTATACAGCATCGGCAGCAAACCACTTCAGATATGGGATAAAAAGGTGAGCAGAGTTACCTATTATTATAACTATCTTCCTTAGCTAACGTTAGCCGTGCTAGAGCTAACTAGCGTTAGCGTATGTGTCTCTGTTGGAGCTTTAGCTTGTTTTGCGTATACGCTAGAAGCTTACGTTATTTTATTCGATAAGTGGATTTAATCGGATCTAGTAAAATGGTGTCGTTATGATAAAATCATTGATTTATTTAGTCAACCCCAGTTGATATTTCCTGTTGTTGATAGTCTGAAACAAAGGTTACAGTAATGATTCAAGGCATAAGCATTGATCTGAAAGTAAAGTATGGGTCTTGTGTTGCTCATAAAACATCGAACTAGTTTTCAGTCATTGTTAAATAACTAATGCAGGATACTAGGTGGACCAAAAGGCGCTGTTGCCATGCAACAATTAATAACAGGAAAAAACACTTTGTTTAAGATTCTGAGGTTAACTCACTTTCAACACCTTGTTATGTTATTTATTGTGCCTGTTGTAAGATTAAGTTAAAACTCACAATATTATATACAGATTGTTTTACCAAGAAACTGAGATAAAATGTTAGCCTTGTTTTTGTATCCAATAGATTCATAACAAATGTATATTCATGTCGTTTTGAAATATTTGGGAGCTTGCTTTACTTCATGCAGTTTTCCTATTTAAATGCATCCTTACCTTTTAAACAGTATGTCACAGTTTATGTAGAAGAAGAATTATATAGAAATATTAAGTGAAATTATGGTGACAGCCATCCTAAACCAATGTGACATCGCTTGATTTCTTTATGTACATTTTAAGAAAATACAATTTCTGTGCTTTCACAGGTTAGAAATGGTCATATCAAGAGAATCACAGACAATGACATCCACTCACTGGTGTTGGAGGTCGAGGGAACAAACGTCAGGTGAGTTTGTGGCTATTTTAACCGATTTTTTAGCTCAGCTTGACTCATTATTAAAGCTCTAGTCACTAATTTACCACCCTTTTATTTTAATCGTAATTTCTTCTCTCTGCAGCACCACATATATAACATGTCCTGCAGACCCTAAGAAGACGTTGGGCATCAAGCTTCCTTTTCTCGTTATGATCATCAAAAATCTCAAGAAGTATTTCACCTTTGAAGTCCAGGTGATGTTAACATTCTTGCAGATACAAAACACTTCCATTTCTTGGTGGCAGAAAGAAACAACTCAAGCTTTATTTTTATCTTTTCCATATTTCAGGTGTTGGATGATAAAAACGTTCGGCGGCGCTTTCGGGCGAGTAACTATCAAAGCACGACACGAGTGAAGCCGTTTATCTGCACGATGCCCATGAGACTGGATGACGGCTGGAATCAGATTCAGTTTAACCTGTCGGACTTCACCAGGAGGGCTTATGGGACCAATTACATTGAGACGCTGCGTGTACAGGTGAGTAGACAGGAAACGGGCGAACTGTCTCCAGATGCTACTTGCACTTTCACTAGTGTGACATAATAATAATAAAGCTTTATGTATATAACATTTTTCATACAGCACGTGCAGCTCAAAGTGCTTGACAAAATGGCATAGATCACAATTAAAGAATATAAATAAACTACAATAAATTCCCCTCAGATCATAATAAAGACCTTTACAGATACATGCAGCATAGCTACAAAATATAACATGTTAACGGGTTAAGAAACACAAGGAGGTAAAAGCTAATACAAATACAAATAAAATACAATAAAATAAATAACGATTCCTCTCTGGGAAAAAAAAGACCCACGACTAAGTGAATCGATGCAACAATATGAAACTCTACAAAAATAAACATATAGGTACAAAAAAAATTAAAAGATAAAAGTAATACAAAATTCATATTTCTAATAAAGGGTAAACAATTAAAATATTAAAAGACCAACATAAAAGGAAATATTGCTATTCAAACTTTTCAATATATAATAAGATAAAACCCTTTAAGACCTATAAGATAAATAAAACAATATAAAAGTAGGTAAATAATAAAGACTAAAAGACCATTTAAAAGGGGTGGGGGGTAGCTAATCTAAAAAGATTTCTCTTTAGCTGTCGTTTAGAAATGTCCACTGAGTTGGCCTCTCTGATATTTCCTGGTAGGGTGTTCCACGGTTTGGGAGCGCAGTGGATAAAAGCGGCCTGACCCATTTTTTATTTTTTTATTTGTAAGATTGTACTATTTTTTTAATGAATAAAGCTATGTTTCGTTTCAGATCCACGCTAACTGTCGAATAAGGAGAGTGTATTTCTCAGACAGACTGTACTCTGAGGACGAGCTCCCTGCAGAGTTCAAACTCTACCTGCCCGTCCAGAACCAGAAGGCCAAGGTAACACACACACACACACACACACACACACACACACACACACACACACACACACACACACACACACACACACACACACACACACACACACACACACACACACACACACACACACACCTTTATGTTTGCATGTTTACAGTTTGTTTAAAAAGATGATAGATATTAAGCTGTTGATCTGACAGTTTGTTTGTGTTTGTTTCTTGCAGCAGTAAGGATTCTCCCCTGCACCGTCCCCCCTGAGCTGATGTGGAGTTTAGCTGTAAGATATAACTGTGTGTAAACATGTGATTAACTTTAAAACTTTGCAATATTGTAATTTTTGAACTTTGAGTTTTGATTGCCGTCTTGTGTTGCTTTCTGCACAATAAAGTATTTTATGTACTCATCTGTCATCACAGTTTTAAATATAATATAATCTATAGCATTAGTTAATCGTACAATAAATCTTACAATTGCCAAAATAGTTTAAAAAAAATCCATTCTTAAAGCAGCCATGTGCTGGCAAATAACTGGGAAACAGGATAGGAGGCTTCACAGTTCCCTGCTGATATAATTAAGGCTCAGTTAGGGCTGTATTAAATACAAATATATAATAAGGCGATCCATGTGAATGTCTGTCAAATACCAACCATAAACAAACTGCAACGAACAAAAAGAGACAAGTCCTTTCTTCAAATATAATGAATCTTTATCAAATTACACACATCATTTCAAGTGAAAGGCTCGGGAAATGATTTGCATTCCCAAAAAACATTATAATCTTTGTTTCACTTTGGATTTCTGTGAACAGTATGAACAGATTAGTATTGCATTTATTTCAGAGCTAAAGTCAGTTTAGCTTAAAGCTGCATCTTCAGCATTTCAACTCACATTGCAAGGACAGACGCAGCACAGTAGTGTTGTGAAAACAGGAATAATGAGGTGAATAAAGCACACAAAAGAAGGAGGAGCCATGAGATGCAACATATCCTATCTAAAGCTGTGGTTAGGACTCAGGACTGCACCCTGTGACTTTAAGTAAGCTTGTAAACAAAACATTTTTCACAGAAGAAAACAAGTTTCTCATCCTATAAATGAGAAAAAGCATATTTTCTTTACATTTCTATTTATCATTTTACATTGTGATTTCATCTGTACCATTGGATTTTGCCAGTGATTACTGATACCGACGACTTGTTATTTTATTTAGTATTCTAGTTCCCCCACCCATGAAAACATGCATATTGCATTTTGGGAAGATGCTGCAGAAGCAGTTTTTTGCTGTGAATTGTCAATGAATACAAATTTTAAAAAACCATGCAATCTGCTGCTCACTGATTCAAAAGTCCACACAGATTTTAAACTGGATCATATATTTTTTAAATCAGGTAAGACCAACTGATAATATGGCTCTTCAAAAAAACATCTTCTTTTCATCAATGCATACAAAATATCGCCTAAAGTGATAAGCTGTCACATTAAAACAGGTATTTAGAATATGTGCAGGAGGTCTTCAATTTCCCAATTTTTCACAACATTAAATATAAATCTATTGCCTACACAAATGAAGGTAAGGGTGTATTTGGCCTCGGTTTTTTTGACGTAAAACAATTGGTCGATAGAATTATTTAGACCTAGTTTCAACGTGGTTTTACAGCAGGCACATTTTTAATAAGGAATGCCAACACTCAGTAGTTTTGATAACTGGTAGTAGAATTTAACAAATGAAGCTCAGCGCAAGTTCAACCAGGAAGACCTCACTCTGCGTCACTCCCCAGCTTAACCAATCACTTCGCTCTATTCTCACAAGCCTATCATAGCGCTTCGCTAAACCTTTTAAGTCTGCTCTCCCCCCTCTGACAGCTTTCATTTCATGTGACTCTTCTTCATACAGTCTATAGACTCAACCAATAGACTGTATAACGGTATAAACGCAACCCTCCTCCACCCCTTTTTCACCCGGGGGGTTTCATCGGATTGTTTTTCCCCTCCCGAATGATACTCCTGCACAACTGGGCCTAATCGCCAAAATTCCATCACATTCATTTTTGTATTCCTGGCAATAAATATGTATTCTTACATCGAAACCGTCTCTCCTGATTGAACAGTGTTCTCCCTGAAATTTGCTTTAAACTAATTTAAATACAATTTTTGGGATTATTTGTCATGATGAGTCAACTTTCACTGTGTACTTGGAAAGCAGATTAAAACAAATGTAAAATAACAGAAGAAGCATCTAACTCTTGTATGGATATATCCATATATGTATTGCCATCTTTTTTTTTTAAACCAAGACAATCATTTTCTTTATAATTTGAACACTGAAAAACCTATGGCAAGAAAAGGCTCTCATTATTTCCACTACAGCTGCTGTTCTACATCAGAACAAACCGAAATTAAGCCCACTTTTATAGGATAACAAAAATACCAACAAGCAAATTATCAAACATACAAATTATTTAAACAAAGCTTATTTTCCTCACATGATTGATATATCTTAAAGAATACATTTGAAAAATATATTGCTTTAGTCAACGGCATGCATCTACGGAGCCCCTAAAGGGACTTCTTTTTGTGTTTTTTTGAGAAAGTTACCGGTGCACCAAGGGGGAAGTGGAGCACACAGGAGACAACCATTTCACTGCAGACTGTTATGTTCACGTGGGGAAATTACGGTGTATACATTATTTGAGATATATTTCAAACTCAGACTTAATTTTATGGACATTTCGGACAGGGGTGTAGAACTATTTGTTCAAGCACCGGATTGGCAAAACAGGAGAGTCTGTAAACCAGTCTGCTTTGATCTATGTCCATGAGTACCTGCTGCCCGCAGCTGTTTTAAAGTGAAACACACACACAGAGCGGAGCTGAGCAGAGCACAAACAGACTCACATCCCCCCTCTCAAATAATGTATGCACCGTCATTTCCCCACGTAAACATAACAGTCTGCAATGAAATGGTTGTCTCCTCCTGTGTGCTCCACTTCCTCCTTCGCGCAGCGGTAACTTTCTCCAGAAAAAATCTCCCTTTAGGGCTTCGTACGCATCTCTTTAAAGTGCAAAAACATTCATTGGTTCAAATCAGCAAATCACTTATTGCATTAAATTATTGGTTCAAAATAATACATCACATCAATTATAATTTAGTGCAACGTAACTGTTGTACCGACACATAACATTTGACTAAGTATAAAATAAAACCTCTGATAAGTCGAATGCATTACAAAAGAGACACTTAAGCCAACAGAAAACACACCTCCAGCTTGTTCTGTAACACAAAGAGTTTGCATTGATGGCGTTGGAGTTGAGAAACAGAAGAGGAAAGGCTGCCTGGACGTTCACGATTGTACAAATAAAAACAAAAACATCAGTCTACAGTCTCTCCCTCATTGTTTAGCTTCTTTCTTTCCTTTCCTTCCTTAAATCTTTGTTGAAAAATATCCTTCAAATACACATTTCTTCAACAACTGCACAAGATCAAAAAGAGAGACTTTCAGAATGTACACTATGAAAACAATTATTAAATCACTGGGATCTTTCTTATATTGCGATTTTAAAGGTGGGGTAGGTACGTTTCAGAAACCGGCTTGAGATACACTTTTTGTTATATTCCATGGAATGCTCTTAACATCCCGATAGCAATGAATATCTTAAGTGCTTTGACAAAAGATCCATAAAAAATGTATTGCCGCCCTGTCTGTCAGCCTTCCATCTCGTGCACGCACAAATGTATCTCGTGCCCTCCTTGGGCGTGCCGTCATTGGGCGTGCATTGCAGCAGTACTTCAATGACTCGCCAGCAACAGGCGGACACTTTCACCATGGCAGAGTTAGGTTCAACATCGTCTACTGTTTGCAAAAGAAAAAATGTAACGGAGCAAATTAAGAACAAAAAGAAAGTGGAAACTAGGAGAAGTCAAACCAGAGTCAATATCGGAGTTGCTTTGGCTGTGTAGTATTGCTAACCTAGATGTGTTTAGCTTTGCCTGATATGTAACGTTACTGCAGCCTGCTCTCGCGCAGGAGGTGCTCTGTAAGGAAGTCTGAAGGAAGGGGCGGATTCTTTTTGGCTGTGTACTTTCAAATTTTAGTGCACTCGAGCCGGTTTCTGAAACTTACCTACCCCACCTTTAAAGCATTGGCTACTTATCTGTCATCATCTTCCCCCTGTTGCCTTTGAAAGCAAGGCTCTGTTGAGGATCCTCTTCTGTGTTTTTCTCGGCAGTGGTTCACATTTGTTGCGTATATTCCAGAACAAAAGGGGGTCTGCTTACAAGCAGTGTTTCCACTTTTGAATGCAGCGAAGTGCTCTTATCATTTTATATATTGCACTTAACCTTAGTTTGAGCTCATACATTATCAATCAGCCATTTTGGCAACTTTGGGACACCTTAGAAATTAAATACTTGTTTGTTTAAGGTTGAATCGTTTCAATGCTAGATATAGATATTAAATCAGGTGGAGACTTTGGACCTGACTTCAAAGGAATGTCCTAATAAAAGAGGAATACTCTTTAAAGCAAGCACTTCTCAGGTTCTACGAATACTTTCCTGAGTTCATTTCTCTATAGTGCAAAAATTCACGAGGCAAAAACTATTTTCTTCTGCTTTCACTGACAGATTCATATCAGCAGGACTTTCTAATAAAGTCCACTCAACCTACTCAACTTGAACTCCTTGAGTAGTCCTGCAGGTTGTGTATGTGTGTGCGTGTGTGTGTGTGTCTGTGTGCGAGTATTCAGCATGACTTGTACATGTTTATGTGTGTGACTGTGAAACTGTGTGTGTGTGTGCTATGTCGTGCTCCCATAATGAATGACATAGTAGTCATGGACGTACATCAACACAGCGACAGGCTGGCCAATGATGAGTGAGATCCACACTGCGGCGTTGCCATAGTTTCCGTTAAGAAAACGACCCACAAACAACGCCAGAGGAACCTGGAGAGGTTAAAGGTCAGAGGTCAAAGGGTGTTTCGCCTACAGCAGAGGAGAGAAAAGGTGATAGACGGTTCAGTGTGTCTTACCTGAGCCATCATTCCCATAAAGGCCCACGGTCTGAACATCTTCAGAGGAACGCTCACCAGGTACTGAAGAAGAAAGACAGAGGAATACAATCAGACACAGACCATCTCTCAAGATGTATTGCAAATTAGTTATTGTGAGAAGGGAACAAATGAAAACTCATATCTCAGATGCAACAGCTTCAGGAATCAAAGTTTTGACACAAAACATCGTTTTAAATTACATATAACAGTTTGAATTTGCACTGCTTAATATAGTGTAAAATATTTGTTGTCATTTGATTCACTTTACTGTCTAAGTTGTTGAACTGACAACTGTACACACAAGGCCATTTCAGGCACAGACATCGAGTAAAAGGATAGATGTCTGGAGGATGAATTAGCAGATACATGGCATTCAGACTTTATTCAGACCCGCTTATTTCTAATGCCTTATTCTACAATCATTTATTCCTTTAAAGGTTGGGTAGGTAAGTTTGAGAAACCGGCTCGAGATACACTTTTTGTTATATTCCATGGAATGCTCTTAACATCCCGATAGCAATGAATATCTTAAGTGCTTTGACAAAAAATCCATAAAAAATGTCCTAATACTAAAAAGTAATACTGTAAAAAGCACGACCAATCATTTTAGCCGTCCTGGCTAAAGTAACTGGACGGCCTACCTGCCTGTCAGCCTTCCATCTGTGCACAAACTTATCTCGTGCCCTCATTGGTCATGTGCGCGCTCGTGTGGGTTGGAGGAAGTGGCAGATTTGTTCCGGCTGTGTATTTTCAAATTCTAGCGCACTCGAGCTGCTTTCTCCAAAATGACCTACCTCACCTTTAACACTCTAATAATTCTGAAAAAGTATTCAAAATAAATCCCTGAGATATCACAGTGAGTTTAGATTTATGAATTTGAATGATTTTTGCATAGTGGTCTGAATCCTTTCTGGACGATATGTTTGTAGAATGTAGTGGTTAATGTGACACAGGAAGAGTGATTGCATTTGCTTTACCTCGTGGAAGAAGGCAGACATCAGGAAGACAGCGGTTCGTGCCAGAAACTTGTTGACGCCATTTCTCAACATTGGCTTATAAAAGTGTCTGTAACACACAAAGACGAAGACAACCAACACATTACATTGACCTTTATCTTTTCAATAAAAAAAAAACTATAACCTCAAATGAATGCCGGGCAACACCTTGATTTTATTTCATACACACAGCAATAATATTGTGATCAACCATGGTAATAATACTAGTGCAGGTTTGGTGCTCACCTCAGACACCACTTGTAAACTGGGATATTCCAGTTGCTCCAAAAATATGTGACAGTCTCAGAGTTCCTGAAATGAACAAGAATGGTACAGATTGAGAGTTTGACCTCAAGACAATTGGGTTTTCTGAACGACTGCTACGTATCTCTTAATAAATACTGTGTTGTTCCTGTGTTATGTGGGGCACATGGTACAGTACCAAATTACTTTTAGGATTAAATAAGACAAGCTCAAAATGATCACAAGGTTTAGGTGTGACTGCATACTGTATGTAATATGTCATTGTGTGTGATTGAATGATCCTTCTGCTCACCACCAGTCTTTGTAGAACTGTCTGTCTCCAAACTGCAGCAGCTCTGCCACAAAGTTCAAACAGGAGTGGAAAAACCAATAGAAGAATATTAACCATATCAAATGGTTAGGGACCTGGGAGAGGAAGAGGGGGGGAGGAGAGGGTCGTGGGAGTAGTTAGGAGAAGTTTGGTATGGTCATATGGTTGGTTGGGTTTTACAGTCCTAATAATCATACAGTATGAGACAGACACAATATGAGACAGACTCATTTTACACAAGATTAAGTGGTTAAAGTTTATTATTTTCATTTTTTAATGATAGATATAAGGTCGTGACAGGACATAGATCTGTTTAGTGTAACTACAGTACATCAAGATACTCACAGCTAACTTTAAGAGGCGCTCGACCATCCTTGAAAAGTCCATTTCCTGTGAGAGACAAACATTATATTTTGTATGATGTCTGATAGTGTATAACATGTAAAGTACAGTAGTGTGTGTGTGTGTGTGTGTGTGTGTGTGTGTGTGTGTGTGTGTGTGTGTGTGTGTGTGTGTGTGTGTGTGTGTGTGTACACACTTACCTGGAATGGTTTCATTGAGTTCTGTATTGTGGGAACCATCCACTGGAAGACACAAAGGAAATGACTTAGCTTGTTTAAGGGATGAAAACTGATCTGATAGGAAAATATTGTAATATTTTCTGAACATCTGCATGATTGAAGCAGTGTTAGAATTCAACCCACCTGCTGTATCAACCCCACCAACAGCTGCATGAAGAAAAGCTACAAGAAAGAGTCAAAATGAAAACCTGTTAACATGCATGTCTGTTTCATTGTCCACCATCTAATTTTAAATAAACATACAAAACAAAACGCTATAAGTGAGTTTGTGTGTGTGTGTGTGTGTGTGTGTGTGTGTGTGTGTGTGTGCACAGATGGACCTGAAAAACACAGACACATCAAAATGAAGACTTTCATTCTCACACACTTATCTCAATCAATGTTTTCCCATCATAAACATTATAAATACACGAGGTTACTCTGTGTGTTTTCGGTTTATCCCAACTCTTACAGTGAGGAGGTAAACTTATTAAGTTGAATCTAAGATAAAAATAGCTTCAAAATGCCAACAAAACGTTGACAGCTATTCAAGAGACACAACTGTCAGTGCATGACGTGCAGATTTTCCTGTCACCACTAGATGGTGGTAGCAGCACAGTAATAAACAATAAAAACAAGATAATCCTGTTGAGTGTACACTGATTACATTACATTACTTACTGATTACATTTTGATTACATTTCTGTAAATGTCTTGTTTAATCCGGCCATTATTTAGCATCTCTAATGGAGCAGCTCTTATGTTCAGTGTACTGTATTTTAGGTATTTTATGTGCGTGCCTCCAGACAATCTTGTTAACATTTCTTGTACGTTCCAATATACTTACACGAGTATGATCGTGTTAGTCTTTTGGCTTTCATTTGTCTGATTTGTCGACACCACCTGTTGGTGTCTTGGTAGGAGTACAGCTTGAGAAACAGAATTGAGTAGGCTCCTAGGGAGAGTATACCGCCCACTGAAACACAAACACGAAAAACTCATTCTTAATCAAAATGTCTTATTAACGTCTTAAAATATGATTGTGTATTTACTGTATTAAGTAAGTACCTGGGGTCATGGATGTAAGAGTGAGTACAGTTGCTGCAGGGAAGATCAAAATGGATGTCAGGTTAACAATGTGAAGAATCCCTCCTGTCCTTTGAGAAATGGTACCCTAGGAATGATGAAAGAAAAACAGTCTTACATTATGAAAACATTTGATCTGAAACACAATTTTTTTTACACTGCAACACTAGATCCAATGTGCTTTTAACATATAGAATATGGTCAGAAGTGATTTAGATAATATGTTATCTAATCTAAACCAGGAGTGGTTTTCTAATCAGACTGAAGAGCAGGTATAAAGAGGGGAGGGGCTGTGAATGTAGGAATGATGTGTATTGCAGCTCTTTGATGGGCGCCCCCTGAATGATAAATGAAAAATAAACCTACTTTCTCCCAACAGGTCGTCTAAATGTGAAGCAATATGTTCTACAAAATCATTAAAAAAAGGTTATTTATACACTGGGTTACAAACCAAAACTAATTTGTAAACCCAACCATAACTTACCATAAATGGAAACTAGGAAAATATATGCAAATCATTGTAATTACTCACCACAGCCAGGCGCCTCTCAGTGTACAAGGTTGCTAGGATGAACACATTAGACGCTGAAACACAGAATTGACAAACTCATCTCAAACACCATTTAACACAGACAAATGCACGGAGGAACTGGCGCCTGCTGAGGACAACTATGAGGCTGGTGTCAGCAAATAGACAATGTCTGGAATCAACCTTCTTTGGGTAAATAATCAATAACAGCTATGCTACAAAATCCAAGTGAGGCACTCACAATGCTTCTATATGCCATCATTGAGCATCTGGCTCATTAAATCGGCGATAACATACCGAATCAGATCAGCCATTTGGGACATGGCGAGGCTATTAAGCATGATTTATTTCATTCAACAACAACACTTGGATTTAGGTTCAGGGTATACAGGTTTGCTAACTTCAACTTGAAAATCAACCCTGAGGTCAGAGAAAGACAAATCGCTATGAGGCATTCAAGGTCTGTTGAAAATGTTGACATTGAGGCAGTAACAAAATGTTCCATACCAATGATGAGGCAAGCTGCTGGCCAGCTATAGGGGTCTTCCAAGAAGAGAGACACTACTTGGATAGGATCGACCAAGATACCATACCTACATTAGAGAGAGAACATTTAGAAATGGTCTTATTTAGATAGGAGGCAAACATGTTTTTTTTGGTTTAAGATAGGTGCATTCAGGTAAACGTTTGGTGTGAGAGTGAAAGGAATGAAATTAGTGGTGAAGTGATGGCCATTGGTTCAATTGAATGGGAGTGGGTTGTGACAACACCTAAGACAACATGTAAGTATGTGTGTGTGTGTGTGTGTGTGTGTGTGTGTGTGTGTGTGTGTGTACTCACTTAATAATGTTCTCTAAGAATAGGCGTGCATTGCTCAGCACCTGAAAGAGAGGAAGAGCTCAAACGATTAGTCAGCTACTCAATCTGAGGTTACATTGTGTTCCATCAACTATAATCGTAAATCAACTATTTTAATCATTGATTAAATGCTAGTTTTTCATCAGAAAATGACGTTCTTAGCCTTGCAAATAATGACATTAAAGAATATCTTTTGGAGGTGGCTCACAAAACATCTTGGACTTTTGACTTTGAACTTTTTTCACTTTTTTTTTGACATTCTATAGACCAAAGGATTCTGACCTAATCTAATTGGCAGATTAACGGCTAATGAAAATAATTATTAACATTTTTTGATTGCATCTAGCATTTGTTTCCCCAAAAGTATTTCTAGCCTTCTCCTAAAAATCTGTTTTTTCATTTTATTTTGCCACAGCTCTGCTAATGATGAGTCTGTATGGTTCAATGCATTTGTTTGTGCAATTAGGGTGAGTTTTTGTTCAAAGCAAAAACAGAAAGAGGATTTTCCCACTTACATCTCTGACTTAAGATGGTTAAATAGTCACTGCCCAGAAAACACACAAGAAAAAGCTGTTTGCAACAAAAGCAATATAAAGTAACATATTCATATCTACACAATCTGTTCAAACACCTTCATAGATCAGAGCTGTGTTTAGACAAATGTTTCTGCTGCTATCACACCGTGATAACTGTCACACCCTGCTGCTTAACTCCTCCTCTTAAAAACAGTCAAGTAAAAATAGTCAAGGTCCAAGTCCACCTGTTATCTGAGCTTTCTTAGATAAAGCTTACCAACCACAAAGAGCTAAAAATGCTTATGTATAGCATGTATCCATTTAAAAAAAGCATTTGTATGGCCAATGAGTTTAAGGGACAGTGAGGGTGGGACACATGATAAGGTCATGGTGATAATGTGGCATGTTACAACTCAGCACACTGCTCTGCCAAGATCCTGCAGCAATGTGCTTTTGATTGACCTACGTCTTTTGTCCCAAACAGATACCTTTGCCTTAGTAACCTTCAGCATGGACAAGACTTGAACAGAATGTAACACACGACTATTGGGACACTGGTCTGTCCAGAGCATTTATAGAGCATTACAAAATCTGATTTAGAAATAATTCCACTTAAAATGTGTCTTCTCTGTTGTCCCTGTCTGGAGAGAGGTCAGTGTGCGAAGGCAGATACAGAACAACACACCGGGAGGCAACTCAGTGTCTTGCTTAAAGACACTTCAGCAGGGGGGGGGAAACTGAACCTACAACAACTAAAAACATTTCTATCGAGCTGTTATCACAGTTTGGAAGTTTGTCCTGGAACCTATTTTCAAAGACGTATTTTTCTTATCTTATTTTAAATCCTAAACACATTTCTTCAGTAATAAAACACCAATGATAAGATGTTAAAATGGATAATTATGACTACATCCATAATCTTTAGAACCATCTGTTTTATATTTCTAAACATTTATGTTAATGTATAAACAAGATTAAGGAGACGATAAAGTTTTGATAAAAATCTGTCTGAATAAAAGCCATCTCTGTGTCCTGTGAATAGTAGAGGCTTAGTTTAAAAATAGAAAGAGCTGCTGGGGGTTGGCTGAACTTTAGCTTGCCATGGAAAACTAACCTGAGATGACTGGGGCCAACAAAGACTGAATTATCAAACATTTTCCATCAGAGGGCTTCTATTAAACTGTTTCCTTTGACACACAGCGATACAACTTACATGTTCCCCATAAACAGCAGTCTGTATTAATAGTTAAATAAATGTTGTAGAAAGAAACTGGCCAAACTATTTGTTGACAGTAATCTGTTTTAACAACCGTGGTATGCTCAGAAAATCTGCAAATGGGCGCTACATTTAGATTTTCTATGCACTGTCCTAACTGTTAAAGTGCTGTGCATGGGAACAATACAGCATCAATTGTTTGTACCATATCCAGGATGATCATTTTTATTGTCAAGTATCAAAACTGCATCTTATCCCAAATATCTTCACTGTCTTACTACATTTTTGTATAATGTTTATGCCTTCTGAACAAGCATGAACAACATCTTAAAGCACTGTTTGTGTTGGTTTGCTAGAACAGATGTTTAAGCACCAATATAAATGTGCGTGTGTCTTGTTAGTGAGGTATTTAAACCTTTAAAAAAGGACAGGTTTATGGCTGTAGACCAAGGACAACATGGATCCTGTATGACATTCTCATATGGCCTTACATTCTGACAATGGCTTGTGTAAGAAATGGGAAACATGAGGCCATTTTAGAAAACCAGATTCAAAAGTGCTTCCATGAACATCCAAATGAGGTCACACTCTTTTCATGGATTTCTCTGTTACCAAATGTAAACATCTGTGACGCTTATACTTTTATACATTTAAAAGCTGTCCTGAAGGCAGCTAATGGATTTATCTTGTTTTATTATTTTGTCTACCGCCTTAATTAATGTTGTGAATGAAGTGCTTTATTTCTAAACACTTGGTTACAGCATTCAGAGAGTTTAAATGAAGTATAACAAGTACAACACATTAACGCTCTCATCTGCATGTGCCCCTGCAGCTGACATTTTAGGGAATTAGACGAGGGTTCTGGTTATGGAGGACTAAGCTGGTAAATGCACACACCCACAAGTCTCTGTGGTTCCACTTTACACTCTTAAAGTATAATCCTAGAGGCTTCCTAAAAACAGTCTGAACCGAGCGGAGACAACCGTCTCTTGTGACCACAAAGTAGAGGCCGTGGTCGTCACAGCAATATACACTTTCATAGATGGAATTAATCCTGTCACAGAAGTGTAAAAATAGACCTGATTTAGAAAGAAAACCTGGAAATACACACAAGTTTAAGGCTTAGATGAGATGCCTTTTTCAATTTCTTTAGGATTATGGCTAACTGGATATTTGTATCCTCCACGTGTATCAGTCTACTGGCGGTGACTGGATGTTCAGAGGGCGCCTTTGGAGACACACACACACACACATGAATTTAGCCATTTTGTTCTGAAAAAGATCTTGTTGTCCAGAAGTCAACTCGGCCCAGGGGGGCATTTTTGGCTGTGATATGACTGAGATCAGTATTTCAACACAACATTCAGCTCCAAGACCCCCAAAGGACGGACTAAAGGTCTCCAGCATGTGTCCCTAACATAGGGTGTGCAACTTGGTTAAAGGTCTCACATTAACTCATATTTAAGTGTTTTGCTTTAAGGTACAAAAGCCACAGCCACTACTAGAGTCTCTGACATACAGTAGATGATACAGACCACAGTACATCCTGAAACTGGCCTATTTCCCACTGCATCTTCAACATTAAACAGCAGCTGCACATCTGTAGCGAATTATGCAATTTTTTTAAATTTGTATTTTACATTTCATTTAGAGTGCTTGTCATGTTTTTGCAAATAGGTATATTTCTGCTTTCAAGTTAATCTTCTCATCATGATTACGATTTGTACTTGCCAAAGATGTGTCATGCACACTGGCTTTTTTTTCGGGGCTATAAATAGGAACGTCCCAGCTAAAAGAATAATCTCTAGGGATCATGTTTTATTTTTGAATTTAAAAACAAGAACCAACTTCAATGGTCAATCAGAAGATACTCTAGGTCTAGGAAACATCCATCAGGCTTGTGAGGGATGTTAAAATGTTATTAAAAACAAGGATTTAACATTGAAAGCATATAATACTGATGGACATAGGTCAAATTAGAAATGATACCTAGTTTAACCCTTCATACACTGTATATGTGTTCAGAGATGCTTCATATTTTTCAGCCTAAAATCATCAGTCATGCAACCATAGAAAACTCCCTTCACTGTGTTTATATTAACCTTTTTATTAAATGTGTGCTTAACGTGTCTGCCACTTCAATCCTTGTTATTTTCACTGCAGGTATATCAGAACACCCTAAATACATGAACAGCTGACATTAGGTCAACTTCTGCTGAGAGTGAACGCTCAATATGCTTTTCAAAGTAAACTCAAACTGGTATGAAACTATGAATAATCCACCCACCACCACCAACAATTTTGATTAAGGTTGTAGAAACAAGAAAGTAATGAAAAGAAAGGAAAATGTGAATGCATATCATGTTCTGGATCTACAAATGTAAAGAGATAAAACTGAAAAAACGACTTATCTGACAACTCAGACAGGTGAGAGTGTTACTGTTTAGTGTGGACTAGTTAGTGCGGAATGGCAATTCTTATTCTGTTGTTAAAGCAATGACATATATAACCTGTGCCTCAGTTATATGTGCTGCTATGATATACTGTATATGCTTTTGAGTGAGAAAGACTAATAGAAAGAGAGAGTGACCAATAGAAGGATATGCAACTGGATATTTTTATAAATGTGAAGAACATCAGCTACAAAAGGCCTCTAACAGTCATTTGGGGCAATGTCAAGACATGAAAGAGACAATTATTGAGTGCATGTCAAAGCATGTTTTCATTTAGAGGTATTTGTTTGGTTCCACAAACATTTCAATTTCAAGAGGTTTAATACTTAGACATGGTTATTATAGTTTTAACTATATATATATATAGTACTATTAACATTATATAGTCATTGCTAAAAAGTTGAAAGTACATTTTAAGTCCTAAATGCACACGCAGTTTGACTCACCAGCATGACAACACACCAGTTGAGGATTCCTCTGTAGTTGCTGTAGCCACTGGCTGAACTTAAGAGAGACTCCTGGAGGACGTGACAGCTACGTGGAAACACAAAGTCAACAGTTTTATTGACAAGGTAGACATTTTTAGGGCTAATCAAGCCCTTTAAATTCCTTTCTGTCTGTTTACCTACACAGGCTCAGGGATGAAATCTTTGGTAACGTCCCTCAAGTTGCTCTCATACCTCCATTAATATAAATTCAACTGCATCTTGATTCTTGAATTGAACATTCTATAATAGAAATGAACTTTTATGAAAAAGGAATAATGTTTACATTAAACAGGTTTATACAGTGAACAAAGTTTCTTCCCAAATCAATACATGATTTGGCATGAATTACAAATGTTAACTAATTTGAGAGGACAGTAATGATGGCCCACCTAAAACAGATCTACGTTATAGGTATTTCTTTTCTATATAGAGTTGTATTTTATGTTATCTCTTTACTTTCACATTATGTTTCTTGTTATGCACCAAATCACAAAGACACATTGTTTGTGCGAACCAACTTAGTCCTACAAATGCAACAGGCACTGGCGGAGTTGTGAAAATGTAGGTTAAATGTACTGAACCGATTGTCCAAAGTTCATTGTGAAAACTGAGGCTATTCATCAGGCAAGAATTTTTTACACAACCCCACGTGACTGAGATAACGGAGCAGAAGTGAACGACTAGGCAGAGGCAAACAGGGAGCAAGAAGTAAAGAACAAACAGTAGGAGGGTGAACTTGAAAATAAAGGAAGAGGAGGAACATCATGTGGAGAAGCAGAGGAGAATATGAGGTTAAGAGACATGAGTGATTTGAGGGAAGGAAGGAACGAAGGAAGAAAATTAGCATTTAAAGAGAGGAAAGAGTAGAAGGGTTCCTCAAAGGATCGCAGAAGCACATATGCCTTTGTTGACTCACTGTTACTGTAATACAGGAAAGTATTACTACTCAGGACTATAATGTGAATTACAATCAATTCATTTCCATATTATGGCTGCATCACTTTAGTACCCAAGGATACCAATGTTTATATCTTACACTGCAAAAGATATTGTTGAACACCAGCCAGTAACTTGGCAGCTTACAACAACAATAACAATGCAATTTATCAAAGGTGAGGACATAATGTATCTGGGTAAAGGTCAGGCTATTGTGTCTTCTATCACAATATCTGTTCTAACAAATGCGTACTACTTTTGACATGTATTTAAACTTAAAGCTAGCCTCTCCATCTTTTATAAAGTCAAAGTGTCATCTCAAGAAGGGCTGCTTAATTTATACCTTTCTTAACATTACAAAAATACACCCGCATAAATACTTGGTTTAATATGAAAATGCATCTAGAGATGCTTCCACTCTTCTAACCTAAACAAATTATGTACAAGGTGACACGTAACTAAACCTTTATTAGCTTAGCTTTATTTAGTTGTATTAACTTTTTGAATGATGTCAGTCAAAAGTTAAACACTTTGTAAACTCAGATTGTTAATGTGCTATACAAATAAAGTTATTGTATTATCATTGTTGGAATGATCCAAGGTTGATATTCCATTGTTTATGAATCTGCTTGTGTCATTTTCTATGCAGCAGTGTATTGTATTAGGCCACTATTTGTATTAGCCTGCCCAAAGTCTACACATGATAATAAACTCATAGCTAACTCTGGCATATTTAGATGGAGGGGGAAAATTAAATGTCAAATAATAGCTGTCCATGGACAATGAATAAATGAAAAGGACAATCATAATAAACTGGCAAAAAAAAAAAGGGCAATCAGCAAAAGGAAATCCGAAATAAACGCAGATTTTATACAAACGATCCACCTTAATGAGTAATGACACATTCGTCATTCAAGTATTAAAAGGTTACCTGAGTCTCTCGTTAAACTCCTCCACAACACTCATTTGTTTTTTGCTCGGACTGTGTGGGGGCTGCTGCCCCGAAACCCCCATCTCTCTGTCCGGCTTCCCGTTACTCGGATGCATGGACACATCGTCTGTTTTGGCTTCAGCGCCGGGGCTCTGTGGAGGTTTCTCCCCGGCATCGTGACTCTTGCTCCCGTTGGCTTGTTTTACCGGTCCGCTGCCGGTGATGGTGGTCCTCCTCCTGCGGGTTACGGGCCCTTTCATCTCGGCTCTCTCGCTCATTTCAGCAGGTCAAATCACGCAGTTTTCACCTGCCGGACATCGCTGCTTCTCTGGCTGTCTCGGGTGTCTCTGTTATCATCCGGAGGGTCACATCCAGAGAGCAGAGATCAGTCCTAGCAGGTCCGGAGAGTGCCGGTTATGATTAGGCGTTTCATCACCACTACTGCTGTGATTAAGGTTGCCACGTCGGTGTTGACATCCCCCTTTCGAGAAAACTCCAAATCTATGCTACTCAATCCACTTCCGTATAGAACAACGGAAATGTACTGGGTAATATCACATGGATGTATTATAGCGTTATATCAGCAATATCTAAAGTATTATTGTAAAACATGATATATTCGCCATAACAAAGATAGAGTAGATTCAAGACGTGATTATATTAGCCCCGCCTCAACAATTAAAGGCCCTATCATTATTTGACAGACTTAAATACAGGAAATATGAGCTCATATGTCTGTATTTTATTCATCTATTTATATTGTATTTATTGTATTATCTATTGAATATATATATGTATATAAACATTAGAATGATATAGACCAGGGGAGTCTTTGTAAATTAAGGTTAGTCTCAAACTAAATTACCTAAACTACTTTTTAACTTCATCAATTAATTAATGAGGATCTGATTTTAGAAGGGCTAATACATAGGGTAGAAGATCAGTATAGGAGCAAATTGAAAGTGGGGTCCCATGCTGGACTAACCCATAATCCTCCTAGAAATACTTTTGAAACAGGTGAGGAGTAGAATTGTTGTCTGTTTGTGTGTTAAAATATAAAATGTGTTGTTTTTTGGGCCACAGAAAGGGCTGTTATCTGCTACTGTTAGCAGTTTGTAAGTTACCAAAAAAGGAAATGAATTTGTAAAATGATAAAATCACATCACTGTCATTCTGACATAACACTATGGCTATGTTCATAACTCAAATGCAAGTCCATGTATGCATAAAGCAGCATCACTGCATTTTAATCAATTATATTGGTTCAAAATTCATTCAAATTCAACAGTTTACAATTACAAATACACGTCATGCTTTGTGTAAACATGTTGACATAGGCTAGTTGTGTCAAAAATAATACAATTTACCTAACAGCTGCTAAATGAAGATTTACTGTTGCCTTGAGAAAAAGGAATGCGTTCAAAGTAAGTAATTGTGTCACTTACAACATTTTAATTGAGCAATTGCGTTTGAAAGATAAACATAAAACAAACACAGCTCATTATTGCTCAAATTTCAGAACTACAAAACTACAGTCAAGTCAGCTTGCAGTGCGAGTCGGTAAGGAGCCAATGGCATTCGTAGTACATGTCACATGTCAATTCAGCCCAATGGGGCGTAGCCTGATTGTCTAGTTAGGTTGATTCTTTGAGAGACAGCTGTTGAGAGAAACGTTTAACGTATAGCTAACTTTGGTCAGTGTTTTTACCTGTTCGGAGGCATCTTTTTTATTTGTAAATCGGTCTATGGCTCAACACAAACTTTGTCATTAGGTTGTCAGCTTTTAAAGGCATGAACAGGCTCAAAAAGAAGAAACAAAACGCAGGAGCTGAGGTGAATGGGAATGGATCTGTCACAAGAGGTGAGTCAACTATCAGATAGTTAAGCTAGGTAGTGTTTCATAAACGTGTCTAATAAAGACATACATACAGACAAGCCACACAAGATAGTTTTTATATTAAAACACACCCTATATTGATACTCCGTAGGCTAACGTGTAGCTTACAGACAGAAACGTGACTTGCTGTGTCTGCAGTTGGAGAAATGGCAGTGAACTTAATACTATTACTAGCCAGCCATTCAAGTCATGAATCACGATGTGTCCAATGTTGTGCTAACCTGTTTCTAACATGGTTTCTAATCTCCGGTTGTACATTTGTTTACAATCTTGTCAAAGTAAACATTGGCAACATATCTGACAGTAGTGCCTGCGTGGCAGCATGTCTGCCAACTTGGACAATACTTAAATGCTGTTTGCCAGACAAAGGAAGTTGGACATGGTTATGTCATCATTCACTGTCTCTAAAACAGAATATACAAACAGACAAACAAAGATAGCTATGCCATCAATTAACACTGGGTTTTGGTTTGACCCGTCAAGTAATTCAAACTCTCATATCTTATTTTCATTTTCACGTAAGGAACTAAAGCAATCCATTAAAGAAACGCCATGTGTGTTTATTATTTGTCTATATCTGTATGTGTGTTCCATGCATATGATTGCTAGTTTCTATTTATAACTCAAACATGGTCTCCTCCTCCTCCTCCCTCCTCTTCTTTTTTCTCCTTCATCTTCCTCTCCAAATCGTTCTGCCCCTCATCCTTTTTCTCTGTCTCTGTTGCAGAGCCAGATTGTGGGAGGAAACAGAAGTTAGCTGAGATCCATCAGGCTTTGATCAAGTAATGTAACAAATACCAGTTGCACTTTGCTTGTTATGGATATGTTCTCATTATTATTGCTTGAATGGCATTCATTAGGATGTATTATTTACCTCCCATGAGTTTGCCTCAGTTAGCCAAACATCCTGTGGTTTTGTTGATCTGGTGATAAAATACAACAGAATTACTCAGACTGTATTTTATAAAAACACCCTGGGTGCTAAGGTGTTCCCAGCACATTTAGGTGTAATTCCCACAATAGCTTCCCCTAAGAATCTGTCTGTTTTGTAGAAATCTAAAAAGTTTTGTGAGCTTCCGTTCCACATGATGTGTTTTCCCGAGCGGGAAAGCCTCTCCCTTTGCTGAATGCTGTTCCACAATTAGATGTTATGCATCTATCCGTAGACATTGACCTTCATCACTCTTATTTTGCGATAAACTAAAGTATTCTTTGTCCATTCAGCCAAGACATGCAAACACACGCGTCCTTCTGTCCCAGTAGAAAAACAATAACAGTGAAAAATACATAGAATTTGTCTGTCTTGAAATTGATTATAAAATCATTTTCAAATGGTGTGTCGTGGAAGTGAAAAAAGTGAAAGAATTATTGACCCGCTACAATTTACACTAACCCTGCGCTGCATAAACATACTTATTTTGTAAGTAATTTAGTTTCACATCGTGCTTAGTTTCATATAAATAAATGTATTATTACTTGAATCAAAGACATTTCAACTTTATTCCTGAAGTAAGTATTTCCGTGATGGACACTATTGATAATATTTAGAGCCTCTAACTTTTGATGACCGGAGAATACGTTTGCTGTGTAAGCAGATTTTTAAGAGAAGCATCTTAACAATGTCCAATTCTGACTTTTGAACTCCCAGTGATCCAGTGGACATTGAGACCCTGAGGAGGGCAGCAGGCAGTAAGGGAGGGCTGCTCACCGATGAGCTGAGGAGGAAGGTCTGGCCCAAACTACTGAACATCAATGTGTACGATCTGCCTCATAAACCTGGTTAGTAGTTTATTTTCATATGAACTGGGTTGAATTATACTACATGATACTTCATAATTCTGTTACTATTACTAATAGACTAATGCAGGAATGACATAACCTGGAAGTTAGCATCCCTCTGGTTCCTTCGACAACAATCAAATAAAATCTTTCCCTAAAGTTTGGGAATATAGCAGAAAAGATTTTCTAAACAAATGAACACCATTTATAGGATTTTTTTAAGCCTTATACTATAACAGTGGCAAGAAGTTCAGTAAAAAGCTATTTTTAGGCTTCACAACTTCACCACGGTTGCATGACTTTAACATCACCACCACTAAAATAAGAAAAGATAATGTTCCAGACAAACTCTGGTAATTTAGGGACTTGTCTGCAACCACGTTTTTTTAAAGACAAGTTAAAGTGAGGATTACCTGACATGTTTTATGTCATAAAATTAAACCTTCTGGTATCTGGCTTTAAACCCAATAAAAACGCGTTGACTATGACAAAAGGGAATCGGAAGTGAGTAAATGCTGACTCATATTTAGGGTATAGGAATAAATTCTACATCTCTACACCGACAACAATTATAATAACTTCTTTTTTCATAGGTCGAGATGTGAGGGAAAACCACAAGGACTTTAACCAAGTAGTCCTTGATGTCAGGAGGTCTATGAAGCGGTTCCCTAAAGGTGCGTGTATGTGTGTGTGTGTTTGTTTTAAAGATAGCAGCATTGCTCACAGTGCCATTCAACACACCGTACCCCCGTACTTAGAGCAACATATCTGGCAAGGCTTAATAATTAATGAACTGAGTAAAAGCTGCAACAGGGAACATTCTTATGTCACAAGACGCCTGTGTTGTCAGCCAACATCAGGAAGTTGGGAAAGCGACAGAGAAAAGTGTCTTATCTAGAAGCGAGGCTGACAGTTCAGGATAAGAGGAAGCAACACATTTTTTGAAACTGAAAAAAGCAGCATGGAATGAGGGAAAGCTGGACTTAGAGCGTTAGATGCTTAATATAGTTGATCCCTTTCTGTTTACTAAGCTGCTACAATACAATTTATGTAATTTTGCTGTTACATGAAAAGTAAGAATGATATCATTTTTGGAAATTAAACTTCATGTTTAAAGCACACGTACAAGCAAATCCTGTTGTTATTCTCAGGTCTCTCTCAGGAAAATATATTCTGATCTCATTAAGACTGCCTAATTTAAATAACAAAAACATTTATGACCTGTGTTAGTTCTTTTTGAAACTGTTGTTCACAAGCAGTCAGACAAGAGTTAGATAACTTATTTTGAACTATTCACCAAAATGACAATCACATGAATGTTAGCTTTCCTTTAGGGGGTTTTTTCTGTGAAGGTTTTATTTTATAATGAATCCTGGCTCTCCCTCAGGTATGCGAGCCTCAGAGAGAGCTGTGCTTCAGGAGCAGATGATTGACATCATACTGGAGGTTTTGAAACGCACCCCCCAGCTCCATTACTACCAAGGCTACCATGATGTGGCGGTCACTCTGCTGCTGGTGGTTGGGGAGCGGATGACCATCGCCATGCTGGACACTCTGTCCAATCACCATCTCAGGTTAATATCTTTTTTTCCAATCAATCCATTTATATATGCATTTTAATCAACTTTAAAGGCGACAATCTTAAGGATCCTGAAGATATCTGTTTATTTCTTTTTGATGAGAAGAGGGAGTTTGCTGATGGGTTATTAATTTAAATCTGCAACCTTCTTTCTTTTTTACTGTATCAAATTAACCAACCTTATTAACAAATGTTTAGCAGTAATATTGATGTAACCTCTGCCTGTTTTTTCTGTAGGGATTTCATGGATCCTACCATGGACAGCACTAAACACATTTTAAACTACCTGATGCCTATATTGGAACAAGTTGATACAGAACTAC